TTTATTTTTTTTTTTTTGTCAAGAGAAAGTTTAACCATGTGCAAATAAAAGTTATTAATTACACATGTATATAAAGAAAAATATTTTATGGATTAGTAAACTTATTAAAATGAATAATAATCATGTAATATGAATGTGAATATAAACGATATTATGAAAAATAAAAATTTATTTGTAGTAGCTAATATAACAGCAATGTACATTTCACCCAATGGAACGAATGATACGATGGTGCCTGATGGCATTAGCATAGTATTAATCAGTGGATTTCTCCTGCATATTGTTATGTATGGTACGAATATCCAAGGAATAAAAGCCATAAAAACGATAAACTCGTCAAAATCTATTCTTTTCATTAATTAACTTTTAGAAATATATTAGGTGCAATACGGTCGTTTACTCACAGGCTATACTACAATTAAAGCAAACGATGTATTGAGCTTCTCCCAAGAGACGGTTTAAAAGATTAGTGATTATAGAAATCATCAAAGACGTTTTAAACGATAACTTGTATTGACGTTTAAGCTTTTTATTTGCTATCACATCATTACTTGTATGTGATGCTACCATAAATCACACGCATACTGTATGCTAACGATATTTACATTATTTATTTAAAAAATTTCTCGAAAGGGTTGTATAACTTATTTGACGCTGGCTTGTTACCAGGTCAATTAATCAATTTACACACGCCACTTTTTTTTAAAGAAAAGAATTCACACGCTTGTCGTTTTTGGAATTTTTATGTTTTTACCGTATATCAAAATGTAATTCCCATTTATTGAATTAATATTACATAATCACACGATCCAGCCAGACACATTTACTGTTTCGTGACAACTCATGCATGTCAAATCTAATCTTAGTCTAGCTTAACAGAGTTTGATAAACAATATTCGATCATAGATTAAAAAGCTTAAGTAATTAGTGTATGCATTACAAATCATAATGGAAACCGCATCGTGATAATCATTATATTCAAACTAGATAATGTTGCAAGCCTCGATCTCTTTCCACGTAATCGTGGGATCCAAAATAGGGTTCGATGGCCCCTCAAACGAAGTGCACGCATTCAAGATGCTCCCCTCTTGACGATTGTCATTTCCGTGGTTATCGGTTTCGCCCTCAAGATCACATTCGGAACGAGCTTCTTTATTGGCTTCTTCGTTGATTTCTATAAAACAGAATATATTAATTGTCTATAAATATTGATGGGTAAAGTCAATTTTTGCGTACCGTTTGTTGTATCCTTCGGCTTAGAACCTGGTTTTTTTGGGGGTATATAAAGGCACAGGTGTTTTTGATTTCGATTCAAACATCTTTGACATGTCCTGAAGCAGTTTTTTGCCCTTTTCTCAAGACAATGATTACAGAATTTATTGTGTTTGTTAAATTCACATTTGATTTTTTTCAGAGTACAATTCTGACAGGGAACCGGGATACAACGTCTTTTTAGTGGTTTGCAGGTTACACAAGAATGATTATATTTTTTTCGATCCTTCATAATTTAAAAATTATTATTTAAATCTTGATTTCATTTTTGACGGAGGAGAGTCATCGGAATCGCATTTTTATAACTTACTACATATATGCGGAATATTTAATATTGGTGGGTATTTCAAACGGAGCGTTTCTTTTGTTCTCTTCCCTTAAACGATAACGGAATAAGTGGACTTTGTTTGATTAAATTCCGCTATGTGATAAACAGTTTGTGATATAAAAGAACACATACGTAATGTGTAACTTGCTAATAACGTCCCGATGAAAGAATGAAAAAAAGTGATTACATGGAGTTTCTAAGAAGAAGAGAACATTCTAAAACATGTTACACATTCATAGTTATTTATACACACCATTCTGAAATAAGTATTCGAGGACTATTCTTCAAAGAAAAATAGAAACTCGAAGTGCGCCGACACTTTGCTTTAAAAGGGTTATGGAAAATTTTTTAAGCGTATGTCATGTACAGCATGTACTACTTGTGATTTTGTTTACACCGCATAATTTTTAATCCATATTGCGTCATTATAATAATGGAACTTTGATGTAATACAATTCTTGGTGTACACGATCTTAAAATTTTCTGTTTTAATTTATCGCGCGACTTGCTTTTATTCAAACTGGATCATCTCTGCAGATACAATGGCATACATAATTATTGGTTCATCTTGTTGACTACATTATGGGAACGAATAGAATGCGAAGTCATTATTGTTTATTTTAATTACGGGTTTAAGGAATATATAAATTTGCTTTATTAATCACTGCATTCATTACCAGTCTACGGTTTTTTTTTGATTAACTTTTTAGGCGCGTCTCGTGAAAATTACTTAAAAAATTTCCCGCTGTTTGTAATTGTCATTGTTGTGTGGAATGGTCAACAATGGTGATTAAAAACTTTAATGGCACATGAGATTGATATTAAATTAAATTTTATGAATAATCCCATGTTTACACGATTATTAAATCACATATTGTGATTATAAAAACTACTCGTTTTACGTAAAAAAAACCAACGCCAAAAAATGTCAACTTTGACTATAGCAAGGTATTAGCACATTTTTGGGAAAGCAACTAATGTTGAATAATGAAGGAAAACGTCAACAACATATACTAATACAGTAATAATACATACATACATCCTTCATCTTGCTAATTATAAAGTTGGTCTGAAATCACCTCGAAGATGCACTTTATAATTATTAAAACTTTGTTGACCTTTTAAAATAAATATCTAACCTTTTGATATCATTTGAAGAAACGAGGAAATACTAAAAATCGGTAAAATATTGGTATATCATAGATGTCATTTTCATGCGATATACTGTACTTTATTCGGTGATGCTCTAATAAAATAATTATAATTTATACCACCGTACATTTCTCTAAAGATTATATAACCATGTGATTGTTGCATTAGTATAACAAGGAACAAATTGAAGACATTTAAGTGCACACATAACACGATGATTATCGACACATATAATGTAACAGGATAATAACTTTCATAAAAAGCATCAAATTGGTATACAACATCATAAATGCTAACAGTGAAATAAAATTTTATATGGTATTATTCTGAAGGTGTGAACAGGAAAATAAATTCTTTGTGTGAAATCTATTTAGGGTGAATACGTATATATATATATATACAGTATATTTCTTGTAGCTTTTGTAAGACAAAATTAAACTTTACGCGATTTTACATTTATGACCACGTGATTTATACAGTACTCAGTTTATATTTAATGTATGAACTTCTAGCAATTACTTTAGACATATTATTTGTAACTAGTCACATTTGCTAAACTGAGGATACGAAAAAAACAAACGTCTTGAAAATTTATAATAATGCCAAGCACTGGGGCATAAAAGTAAATAAAATGAAGATCAGGTGACTTGGTTTTCTTAATTGGTCCCTGTAAACATGTGGTGCAACACGTATTACATCATTTACTCAATCATATGCGTATTACAAGATATGCACTCTCTTATTCGTCACATCAATTACCTTGTGAAAAAAGCAACATTGATATGATTCGCGCTGATAAAAACATTGATGCAATAAGTGGCTGAACCAATTACTTATAGGAAAGGCTCGCGCCTGGATCTTCAGCATGAAAGGTCGTAAGGGATCTAGTGTTTCTTGCTGTCAGACGGGAAATTAATAATGTTGATGTTAATTAATTTATTAATCAAATGATTAAATATAATGAGTATAAAGGTTTGTTTAAAGATTATGAGACCGTTAATTTGCAAAGGTTTGAAAATAAATAAATGAAAGGCCTTGTTAAAACCTTTTTAAATGTAAATTGGAACAACGAAAATATTTGGTTTAAATTAAAAATCATTTGAAAACATAGGCAACCATCATTAATTCGAAATAAAAAAAAAAAAAAAAATTTTCTATTTTTTTTTTTTCTTGACCACCCGTGTGCTTAGATAAGTAAAATCAAACATAAGAAATTTTACTTTTTTTTTTTTTTTTTAAAAAAAAACAAAAAAATCAATCCATTCCATTATTAATTAATTTCTGGATATCTCCTGTTATGCGAATAAACGGTTTAACATGAGATTGTTGATCGAAGACGTTTTAAACGATAACCTGTACTGTATAACCTTTAAATTCCATATTTTGGGTCACATTGGTGCCTTTGCATGGTGATATAATTTAAAATCACAAATTGTACGTTAACGACTCTTTATGTCAGTCATTTTACCTGAAAATCTCTTGAAAAGGTTGCATAATTTATTTGATGCCGGTTTGTTATCAGGTTGTCTAATTATTTTACGCTTATCACTTTGGAATTTTCAAGTTTTATTAGAAAATTTTTTGAAATTCTCACGTTCATCCATTGGTATTAGTGAGTACTTACATAATCATGTAGTTCTACGTAGAATATTTATCGTGGCAAGAGAATAATGTTAATTTATTTAAGCTTCTACTTGCCAAATCTAATCTTAATCTAGTTTGATTGGGTTCACCATACAATCGTTTAATTATATTAAAAGGCTTAAGTAGTATCAATAATTGTTCATTGTATACATTCATGTATTTACATTAAATTACAAATATGTTTGGAGATATATTCCTATTCATCACAAAATGGTGCTAGCAACCACATAGCGAAAATTACTATGTTGTAATATGTTTCGAATTCCATTATGTTGTAGTATGCTTCAAACTCCTCCCACCCTCCAGGAAATAGTTCATCAGAGTTCATACTAGGATCAGTCGTAATGTTACTGAGTTCATCATTCGTAGGTGTGGGGAATGTGAAATTTAAAATGGAGTTCGGTGAGCTCTCAAACGAATGGTATGTATCTAGGACGCTTCCTTCTTCACAATCAGAATCTTCGTAATCAATATTTTCATCGATACTATCGTCTTCGATATAAACAGCACCACTTTCGGATTCGATACTTTCGTCTTCGATATAAACAGCACCGCTTTCGGAATTGACATTTTCATTTTCAATATAAACAGCACCATTTTCAGGATCAACATTTTCATCTTCAATATAAACAGCACCACTTTCGGGAGAAGCTTCTTGATCTACGCTTTCTTCGTTGATTTCTATATAATGGAATATTAGTCGTTTGTTATTGTAGTGTAAAGATCAAGTAAAATGAGTTCTTGCATACCATTTGTTTTACCTGTCAATTTGGTTGGATTCCGACCAGGCTTTTTTTTGGGTTCATAAATGCATTCATGTTCTAGTTTTCGTTTCGAACAGCCCTCGCATAACCTGACACAATTTTCGGCCTTTTTATCGAGGCAGTTATTGCAAACCATGCTGTCCTTGATAAAGACACAGTTACTATCGCAATTAGGGCAGGAAATTGGATTACATTTGCGGTGGGATTTTTTACACATTTTACAAGAAACGTTGTATTTGCTTCTGCCTTTCATAGTTAAAAGAATTTATTCCTTCAAACAAGCTGACGGGGGAGCGTCAATTAACCGCACCTATATAGGCGATTCATCTTATGCGGAATATTTGATACCTGCGGATTACGTGCGGAATATTTGATGCCTGTGGGTTACGTGCGGGATATTTCCTTTGATTCCTCACTCAAAAACCATCGGAATAAACGAACTTTGTTCGCAAATATTCCGCTCGTCGGTTGTGATGTAAAAAAACATTTATTGCGCAAGGCCTTCCTATTTAAAAAATTCGGGTTTTTAATATAATGAGTCATTTATCACATAGTGCGAATGAATGCTAGTTCGTTTTATCGTCACAGAAATCACTTTGTATAGACAATAATAAAAAACGTCTAATAAAAAAAAGGAGAATAAATCGTGATTACATTGAGTTTGCTGAGAAAAAAAGAAAAAGGTGAATATTCTAGGCATAGAATTTATACAAATCTGGAATACGCCATTTTTAAGTAAACATTCGATGGTTTTCCATCACGGAAATAAGGAACATCGGAACCTACTGTAATAGGATCTCAAATAAGACAATAGTTATTAAAAATGGTAATGGAAAAAATTTTTTGCGAATTGTACTACTTTGTGATCTGTTTGCAGCAACATGATTAGTAATGAAGAAAGTTCCATTTATTATTAATTCAATTAATGAAAATGTTGTCAATCATGATGGACGAAAAGAAGTATTGTTTGATAAAGAATCACATGGTTTTATTTCGAAAAAACTTTAACCCAGATTATCCATGCAGAAATAATGGCGCGCATTATTATAGTTACGAATAAAATACGGGATTGTTATCGTTTATTTAATTTACGGGTTTTGGTGATTAAAACTGTTTTGTTGAACACGACATCCATTGCCACTATTCCAAGTCCTTGTAATTAACTTTTTGGGCGCGATTCGTGAAATTTGTTAAAAATTATTCGTTGTTTTCAAATTACCATTGTTTGTGGAGAATAGTCAACAATGGCATTTTAATCATCAATAATACATAAAAAGTCGGTTACTAATTTAAAATTTTATGCTTATTTCTGTAATTGAGCAACCATTAAAACACGTGTTTTTTGTTCCTTTCCTTTTTTTTTTTTTTTCTAAAAAAAAAAAAAAAGAGCAAGTAAATATGCTATTATTCGATGATAAGCAGCTATTTTTTTCTTCAAGTAATAATCTAAATATCAAAAATTAAATTTGTTTAAACCAGTTTTACAATATAATTGTGATAATGGCCAATGCTCAATGTTTTCTTTTAACAGTAACTACCATGTATAATAATAACAGCAAAATACCCTTTTTAAGTAATCCTAAAAGTCTACAATAATTGTATAATATTTTTCATTAACTCCTTAAAACATATAATATTTATTTATTTTGATACTATTGGTGGATAGGAAAAAATTTTGCAAGCTAATGCACGCGTTAGTATAGCATAGGTAAAATTTTTTGTCAATTTATTTGTGACACTCGGATTAATTCCAAGAAGTTGGTTCACTCAATGATTAAATTAGTGATATCATGAATAAGCGATTACATAATTACACCACAGTACATTTTACTAAAGATTATCTGTAATAATTAAATTATAGAATTTTATTATTGGAAGACAAGAGTCAACTTTCTTGAAAAAATCAACAAATTGATATATGATATGTAAGTGTTAAACCGGGCATTAATGTCTTATATTATGCTAACAGTATTGTCCTGAAGGTCATGTATGTACTGAAAGAAAATTTTTTTCATGTGTGAATCTATTTTGGCATGTCTTTTTATGTTAGCATCTCTCTACCTTCTCTTTCTCCCGAATAACAACACGTAAGTTCAATATGGTAATAATGACCTTTAATTCTTGAAACTAAAAATATAAATCGAGCTTACTTTTCTTACAACTTATGTAAATGACAGAACTGCACTTTACGCTATTTTACATTCTCTAATATTTGTGAGCACGTGAATTTTGTAAGGATTATATTAACTTTGCTTTTTAGTCTATGACAAACTTCTACCAATGCATACTTCCAGACTTTTATATTAGTATCTATCATGTATGAAACCAAAGATACCAAAGATCCAATTATACAAACATGCATTGAAAATTCTTGTCTAATTTCGTTTTGCTATGCGTACTCGGAAAATTCAGCGAGTGCTTATATATAATATAATATACTGTAGATCAGTGTAACGAGAATGATGAAAATGATGAGAAGACTACTTACTGCTTGATAATCAGGTCAATATCACCACTGGGCATAATTTAGTAGAGATAGAGTATATTGTGTATACGTATTTTAGTTTATCACGTAAAATCAGAGTTTAATTTTAGAATTAAATAAAGAACTCCGATAAAACCATTTACATTGGCTACATCAATGATTGTTGATCACTTACTGTATAAGCGATTTATTGATTAGCATTCGCTACACGCATTCATCGTGCGGCGTAAAGCTTTACGGACAGACATTCGGTCAAAGAAAATTATTCATTTATAAGGATCCAAATAAATCACAACTCATATTTGTTCCTAGACTTCGTCTAAATAAATAACCGTGAATACACTTAATCGTTACTTGATTCATATACTGTATTACAAGACGCCCAGTACTGTACGGTACCGCTATTACTTGTTAAGTCATACAATCCATATCAAATTCAAATAGAATTGTGGTGGTACAAATCACAGGGCTGATTGGAATGTTGACTTATTCCTTTCAGACAATTCCGTAATTTGTTGGTCAATCATGCCTTAGTTAAGTCAAGGACAGAAATAATTCACCACCAGATATGGTGCTTATGAATGTTGAAAGGAAATTTCTTTTTGATACGCAGTATGTGTTTGACTTTTTTAATTTATTCGAAAGAAATAAAGTTTATCGCTAAGAGTGGAACGCCAATCGTGTAACATCGAAAGAGGCGTTGGACTTTGGCACAAGGAATGTGTTCGAAAAATGTGATGGATTTATCAGATAATGTGGTGCTTTATTTATTTTGTTCGTTATTCTTTCTTTACATGTTTTTCTCTCTCTTTTATCTAGTTATAAAAAATCCCCAAAACTCACAACAGTCGCAATTGTGAAATAATTGGGTGGTGGCATTACGTGAGCCACGCGTTTTGTTTTTCTACCCTTACACTATATTGTCATCTATAATTACATCTACTGTAAGTAATACTTGATAATTTGGCAAATCATTAATACTTATTGTGACCGTCAAATAAGCATTGCTAATTTACCAAGGTATAAGCATCTTACATACGATCACTTACCATTATTATATGCACACCATTGATTTTTCCGATAACAAATTCACGAAATATACTGTATAATATAGAAAAAAATATTGATGTGCACAAAATAATGATAGGAAATATTATACAGCCCGAATCCTATTAATGATATTACACGCATAATATAAATCAATTATGCAATCGAGTTAAATAATTTTACCATTACTTTCAATGCCAACCGCACAGGAAATACTTATCTTTCATTAAAAACGAAGATCGCTTAAACGATTAACGAAAGTGAAACAAAGATCGTAGGGTACTTTGTCTAGTCGAGTTTCCGGAATTTCATAACCGTAATTCTATGTAGTGATATTCGAAAAATCCTTGGGAAGCCCCCGAGATCACCACTCGAAGAATTATGATTGTACCATCGAAATAAATTAATTCCGGAGAATCAATTCGAACTCCGGAAAACCCGGAGAGTTGATAAGACGAAAAGGGGTAGTGAACAGCGTTCGAGAAATTGCTGAATTGATCAGAAGATCCTTGGTCGGTATCGGCATCACTCAAATTAACCGTCGGGTCATTGGAATCGGCCGATGTGTCGGTTTGGGTGTTCATAGAAGATTGATTGATTTCACCGAAACTCACTCCCGCATTAACCACGTTGCTACTGGAGCTATTAGTCGGATTGTCGTAATTTGGGTGCCCCTGAAAGAAGTCATTTACTTGTTCTGAGTTCATCATGTTTGCCATCTTTTCAATTTGTTGCGAGTTCTGTGATCTTTGAGGTGGTGAAGAGTCAGCGAAACGACTATTTTGTTGCATATCTTGGTTCGCACTCTCATTTTCTTCACTTTGTTCCTCCTCACTGACTTCTACTGTAAGTAAAAAAAAAAATTTTTCTCGGTTAAAAAGTGGTAATAAGGATACAAGATGTTTTTAACGTACCGCTTCTGTCTCCTCTCGGGCCGGGCCTCTCTTTTTCTTTGTAATCACATTCTGAACTTTGTTCATAACACTTCTCGCAAACCATAGCGCAGTGCTCTATCCCATTCTCAAGACATTTGTCGCAGGTTCCTAGTTTTTTCGTAAACGTACATATATCCGTCGGAGCACAATTAGGGCACTTCATTTTATTACAACGAATATGTCTTTCTCGGCAATTTATGCAAGCAATAAAGTTATATACGCCGCGGGATGTCATTGCTAAGCGATTATTGTCCAAAGAAAAAGAGAGTGACAAGGTATTTTTGGAACAATATATGCTGCTATACTCGATTTCACTGCGTACAGATATTAACAAATCAATGTAAACATTTGACGCGAAAATTAAATGTTATGTGTTCGCTGGAAAATCGATTATTCTACCTTTCAGAAACGATGATGTTATAACAGTCAATGTGATGGTTTGAATAGTCGGATGAAGTGGTTTGAATTCGGCGGAGGGCATGCCGTTTATATACAGAATTTTACCTTGCGGAATATCTCATAAGCACGGAACAATTCTTTATAGTATCGGAATGACTAATTATATGTGTGAAACATCTGTATAACCAAATGTATTTATTAATTTAACTTGTTTAGAAAGAATTTTTCCTCCATTTTCCCGATAAAATTTAGTATCATAGGTAGCCGTAGCTCACGAAGAGAAACGTTGCGGGATACATCCGATAATACTATGTAAACAACCACAAGAGTTTTGAACCGCGAGAAAATCTTCGAAAAGAAAGAATGCGAATTAAAAGAAAGGAAATAACGCATCCAAATATTCGAATTTTCTAACTTGAGGTGCGTAAACAATTCTTGCAAAAAGAATAATATTTTTCCTTTCCAAATTTCTTGCGATTTGCTGTACTTCATGTCACAATACTACAACCATTCGTGTTTCACATATACTCAATAATCACAATTCTTCCGGTATCACCTTTCTGCATGGTATAGTACTACTGTATTCGACGCCAACATTAGATGACGTTCATATTTCTATTTATGAAAATGCTGACTAATTTTTATTGTTTGTAATTACAGTATATCATTATGGGCGACCCTTAATAACAGTTTAGATATGTGACAAATTAAATATTTAAATATGTCCATTTCTTTTCTCTTGTAATTCTATTATGCTTGCATGAACGATTTCGATGATTAACGTCAAACGTGCATCAATTAATGCTTGAGTGATATACAGTGTGAGTCAAAATTATTGGAAAATCACTGCGGCGAGATCTGTATAAATTAAACTAACCAAACTCAGACA